ATTTGCCGGATGCTCTGTATTTAGCAGAACGACTCTTTGAACAGTTGTCCCTACTCGTTGCTCTTTTGCTATGTGTCTATTTTGTAATCCGTATCAGGATTCTGTCGTATATGGATTGGTTTCCTAGGGCTGCCATAACAAATTACCAGTAAGTGGGTAGCTTCAAACAACAGAAATTTGTGCTCTCACACTTCAGGAGGGCAGAAGTCCAAAATCAAGGTGTTGGCAGGATTGGTCCTTTTTAGAAGAAGCTCAGAGGGAGAATCTGTTCCATTTCCCTCCCCCTAGCTTCTGGTGGTCGCCAGCAATCCTTGGTGTTCCTTGGCATACAGCTGCATAATTCCCGTCTGTCTCCTTCTTCATATGGCTGTCTTCCCTCTGTGTCTGTGTCTGCACATGGCATTCTCCTCACTCTGGGTGTCTGTCTCTCCTCAGCTTCTAAGGACACCAGTCAAATTGGATTAATACTCTATTGCAGTATGACTGCATGTTAATTTACATCTTAATTACATCTGCAAAGACACTACAGCTGACCCTTGCACAACACGGGTTCGTGAACTGTGCTGGTCCACTTATAGGTGGATTTTTTTCAGGAAATCTATAAACGGACAGTATCAATGAGACATGTTTTCTATTCCTTGTGATTTTCTTAATAACATTTTCTTTTCTCCAGCTTACTTTATTTATAAGAATACAGTATATCATAGGCACAATGTACCAAATATGTGTTAACTTACAATTGATGGTATTGGTAAGGTTTCTGGTCAACAGTAGGCTATTAGAGTTAAGTTTGCAGGGGGCGGGGTGTCAAAAATTATACATGGATTTTCAGCTGCACAGGGAGTCAACTTGTCTTTCACTTTTCTGGTAGTGTCTTTTAATGAATACAGTTCTTGGTTTTCAGAATGATCTAATTTTTCCGTAGTGAAGAATCCTTTCAGTGAACCATTTAAATAAACTGGTTTTTTTTTTAAATTAATCCCAGGGTCATGAAGATTGCCTCCCATATTCTTATTTAAGAATTGTTTGATTTTACCTTTTATATTTACATCCAGGCTACCTAGAATTGATTTTTGTGTAATGTAGATAGGAATCAAGATTCATGCTCTTTCTTTTAACTAGATATCTAGTTGACCCAGTACTGGTTCTTTTTTTCTTTCTTTCTTTCTTTTTTTTTTTTTTTTTTTTTTGTAAAATGATTTTTTTCTCTTGCTTTACAGAGTGCCACTGTTGTGTGTTGTGTGTCATAAATCAAGTGAGCATTTACATTTGGGTTGTCTTTCAACTCTATTCTGTTGTATTGTTCTATTTTTTTCTCCTTGTGCCCATAGCACAGTCTTCAGTTCTGGAGCTTTTCAAAAGTGTTGACATCCAGTAGCATCAGTTCTTCCATTTTCTTCTTCTTCAGGATTATTTTACCTGCTGTTGGCTCTTTACATTTCCGTGTAGGTGATAGAATCAGTATGTCCATTTCCACAAACAAATCTGTCGATATTTTGATTTGTATTGCATTGATCTATAGACTAATTTAGGGAATCTTAATGTCTTTATAATTTTGAGGCTTCTAGTATAAAATGTGGCATATTCTTAATTTTCTATAAGTCTTTAACTTTCAAGCTCTGAGGGTTTTATAGTTTTCTGTTATTTATCTTGTATATCTGCATTATATTTATTCTTTGTTTTTTTTTAATATTACTTGGTACAGTTGTTAAAGATACATACTTTTTTAAGTTTTACTTAATAATTATTTGTTCTGGGGTGCCTGGGTGGCTCACTCGTTTAAGCAGCTTCCTTCAGCTCTGGTCATGATCCCAGGGTCCTGGGATCGAGCCTCATTCTCCCACTCCCCCTGCTTGTGTTCCCTCTCTTGCAGTCTCTCTCTCTGTCAAATAAATAAATAAAATCTTAAAAGAAAAAGAAATATAATTGAGTCATGTATGATTTTAAGTTTTCTCGTAGACACATTAAGAAGTAAAAAGAAACAGATGAAATTAATTTTAATAATATATTTTATTTAACTAAAATACCAAAATATTATTTCAACATGTAGCAATATAAAAATTATTAATGATATTTTTACATCCTTTTTTCATACTAAGTCTGCTAAATTTGTTGTATTTTACATTTACAACATATCTCAATTTATTTATTTATTTATTTTTAATGATTTTATTTATTTATTTGACAGAGACAGACACAGTGAGAGAGGGAACACAAGCAGGGGAAGTGGGAAAGGGAGAAGCAGGCCTCCCACTGAGCAGGGAACCTGATGGGGGGCTTGATCCCAGGACACTAGGATCATGACTTGAGCCACCCAGGCGCCCAACACATCTCAGTTTAGAGTGCCAATGTTTCAAATGCTAAGTAACCACATGTGGCTAATCACTAGTTTTGGACAGTGTAGATATAGAGTATGAGTCATACTTTTTTAAACAAATAATTGTTTGATTGTATGTATAACAGTTTGATTATACGTATGTATAATCAACCGATTATACATATAATATGTATAATTGTATATATATACTGTACAATACGCTTCAAATGTATATTACACATATAATGTGTATAATGTGTGTAATTATATATATGATTTCTTTTTTTAAGATTTTATTTATTTATTAGAGAGAGAGCGGGAGAGAGAATAAGTGGGCAAGGGGCAGTGGGAGAAGCAGGCTCCCTGCTGAGCAGGGAACACAATGCAGTGCTTGATCCTGGGGCTCCAGAATCATGATGTGAGCTGAAGGCAGATGCCCAACTGACTGAGCCACCCAGGCGTCCCTCTATATATGATTTCTAATGGAGTCACTGAAGAAGCCTCTACTGTCATGATTGGATTTTCAAGAAAGGTTTTACTGAAAAGGTGTCATTTGCATGTCTTGAACTATGAATATAAATTTACCAGGTGAAAAAAAAAAATAAATTTACCAGGTGAACAAAATAGGCAAAAGCAATAACATGTAAAATTGTGATGTTATATAAGAGTGGAATTTGTTCAGAGGCCCCTGGTTGGCCCAGTCAGTTGGGTAGCTAACTCTGGATTTTAGCGCAAGTCATGATCTCACGGTCCTGGGATTGAGCCCCGCATCGTGCTTCCTGCACCGTGCTTCCTGATCGGGGGGGGAGTCATCTTTTCCCTCTTCCTCTGCCCCTTCCCCTCCCTTCTTACCCCTCTTCTCATGCACCAGAGCAGGCAAACTCTCTCGAACTTACAACCCTGAGATTTAGAGTCTCATGTTCTACTGACTGAGCCAGCCAGGCGCCCAAGTTTATTTATTTTTAAGCTTTTATTTTCTGTTTTTCTGCCATGTCCTGGAGATATGAGTCACCCTGGCTCACAAGGTATTTGAGGTGAGGTGAAGAAAGCTGCAGGCAGCTTTGGGCCTAGTTTGTGCCTCTCCTGCTTGATTTAGAGAATGAAGGTGGGCATTGGGTTGGGAGGGAAGACTTACCCGGGGTCATTACACTGTGAAACCCCTTCCAAGGCCCAGCCCTTTTCAGGTCTGTTTCCCTCTGTTAAAACCTCCTACCCCACCAAATTCAGAAAGCACTGATGAGAAGTGGGAGCATGTGGACATGCAGAGTCCACGTAGTACCATGCTTGCAAGTCCCCCCACCGCTAGCTCCACGGCACCCACTTGTTCTCTGCAACCCCTGGACATTTTTAGGCTTCCTGACAATCTTCCTGTCCTGTAGCCACAATTGCCTGTTCAAGAAAATGTTGGAGAGAAAAATATTTACCAAAATAACTGCACCACACCCTGACTCTCATCTCTGGTGTCTGGCTCTTGTCTGTTCTGTCCAAATGCAAACACAAATGAATATTTTTATTTAGTATAGGTTCATACTACACATACTGTCCAGCAACTTGCTGTTTTTTCAAATGGCTCGATTACCATGATTGATTACATATGAATATAGTTTGGATTTAACAAAATGTATCTTTAATGTGTATGTGTGTATGTGTGTGGTTTCTATACCCATTTTACACTGAGGTGTCTGCATGTTATCACCTTATCTTAAATATAATTTTAAGTTAGTGACAGGGTACAGTGCCGTTATTAGCATTGTGTGAAGCACTTTTTTTTTTTAAAGATTTTATTTATTTATTTGACAGACAAAGATCACAAGTAGGCAGAGAGGCAGGCAGAGAGAGAGGAGGAAGCAGGCTCCCTGCTGAGCAGAGAGCCTGATACGGGGCTCGATCCCAGGACCCTGGAATCATGACCTGAGTCATGATTAAGTCATGATTAAGGCAGAGGCTTAACCCACTGAGCCACCCATCAAGAGTCCACTAACTTGTGTGAAGCACTTTTTAAAAAAATATTTTATTTATTTGAGAGAGAGAGAGAGAGCACACAAGCAGGAGAGGCAGAGAGAGAGGAGGAGAGAACCTCATGCAGACTGCATGCAGAGCACAGAGGCTGACATGGGGCTCCATCTCGACCATGAGACCATGACCTGAGCTGAAACCCAAGAGCTGGGACACTTAACCGAATGAGCCACCCAGGTGCCCTGTGAAACACTTGATAATTGCCCTCTTTGGTTCTTTTAGGTTGTTACCAGTTTTTAAATATTATGATAATAAAAATTATAGATAAAAATTATAGATAAAGTGTTTTATATTTATCGATCATTTTCTAGGATGGATTTACAGAATGGATCCAAAAGTTAAATAGATTGGAAGAATCAACATTTTGTTTCTTAACCATGTAGAGGAGGACTTGGAACATAATAAGCATCCAATTAATGCTTATTGGGTGAACGAATATTAACAAAAATTTACTTTCCAATATGGATTTACCAGTTTTCATTCCTACTGTCAACATGAACTTGTCTTTTTTCCCACACCATCTTGTACTTATGTTAATTTTGATGATTTGACTGTGATCAGAAGAATCCTATATGTATCTTGAAAAAAATGCTCAGATAATATAACTAAGGTATGTTTCCCTTTTTATTTTCACCTACTGGATAAATGGACGGATGTTTTCTTACAGGACTGAATTTGCGCTTAAAGAAATCATGTCTTCTGGAGGTGCTGAAGATGATATCCCACAGGGAGAGAGGAAAACAGTTACAGATTTTTGTTACCTTCTGGATAAGTCTAAGCAACTGTTCAATGGATTAAGGTTAGTGGACTCTTGATGTCTTAAACTTTTCTCTAGTTCTGTATTTTTTTCCATGGCTGGTATGTGGTAAGTTTCTGAAAGTTATGGGTAGACTGTTCTATAAATACGTGAATTAGAGGTTATCATACTTTTTTCTGTGACACACTTCATTCTCAGATGAAAAAACAATAGGAGAAAGGAGAATTTCTATTGTTTTATTCAAGTTGAGAATAATTATTTTGTTAAATGGTTTTATGTACATTGTTCCACATCATTCCTGATGTACATCTGATTTTATACACTGGGGTATCGACGTTAATATATCTTTAAAGAAGACAATTACAGTTTTAAAGATAATTACAGGATCACCAAATGTATCCTCCGGGACCACTATCTAAAGCTACACTTCTGGGGTGTCTGGGTGGCTTAGTGGGTTAAGCCTCTGCCTTCAGCTCAGGTCATGATGTCAGGGTTCTGGGATCGAGCCCCCATTGGGCTCTCTGCTCAGCTGGGAGCCTGCTTCCCCCTCTCTCTCTGCCTGTCTCTCTGCCTTCGTGTGATCTCTGTCTGTCAAATAAATAAATAAAATATTTTAAAAAAACCCTACACTTTCAATCACTTTATCCCTATATTCATTTAATTTTTTTTTAGATTTTATTTTGAGAGAGAGAGAGCGAGAGAGAGAGCACAAGTAGGGGGGCTATATAGAGGGAGAAGCAGACTCCTCACTGAGCAGGGAGCCCGACGTGGGGCTCAATCCCAGGACTCTGGGATCGTGACCTGAGTGGAAGGCAGACGCTTAACCAACGAGTCACTCAGGGGCCCCTAATTTTTTTTTTTTTATATAAAACTCATCACTATCTTGAGCAGTCTTATTAATTTGCTTTATAATGTCTTCCTACCTAAAATTAAATGTTCCTTAGAGCAGAACCCTATCTGTCACAATTTCTCTAGTAAGTAAGCCAGGGTCTGGCCCATAGCAAATGCTTCATAAACATTTGTTATTGAAGGATTCCCAAGCCAGTGTTCACTCCTACACTCTGCTGCTTCCTATTTTGTGCTATAAAAGAATCTTTGAGATCCGCTTTTGCTTTTGCTAACAATCAGATTAATTGCATCTTTTTTTTTTTAAGATTTTATTTACTTACTTGACAGACAGAGATCACAAGTACGCAGAGAGGCAGGCAGAGAGAGAGGAAGGGAAGCAGGTTACCTGCTGAGCAGAGAGCCCGACGCAGGGCTTGATTCCAGGGCCCTGGGATCATGACCTGAGCTGAAGGCAGAGACTTTAACCCACTGAGCCACCCAGGCACCCCTAATTGCATCGTTTTAAAGAATTATTTTCATTATTAAAGTTCAAAAAAATGAATTTTAAAGCCTAGGTTTTAAGTCATCCCCCCCCACCCCGGAATATCATAAATCTTTAAAATTCACATGTTTAGGTTTTTTCCCTCTTTGGTCTCCAGTATTATCCAGGTGAACTTTTTTATTCAGCATTTACTTGAGCCCTAGTATGTGCCACATTCTATGTTGGGTACAGAGAATTCAAAGATAAAACTACCAATCCCTGCCATCGAATAGTCTGGGATGAAATTATAAAAACACAAATCTGTAGCCTCAGATTTAGTATATCTGTTAAGCAAATTTCCCACACACCTCTGTGTGCTTGTTGAAATTAAGGCAGCTAAAGTTAAAGTGGTAGTAGATTTATAAGTATGCATGAAAATCATGTGTGACTCCCAAACTCTTATTTTCGACTCTTAAAACATTAACAAGGTTATGGGAGCTCTGAGCCCTCCTCCTCCTCCTCGCTCTTCTCCCCTTTTTCTCCCCCCCCACTTCTTCTCCCTTCTAATTTATAGAGCTGCATTTCATATAAAAAAGTTCACCCAGAGTTTATAATTAAATGATTTAGTAACCTTTTCAGAGTTGTATAATATCAGCATTATCTAATTTTAGAACATTTAATCATCCCCAGGAGAAAGCCCTTACCCCTTAGCTGTGACTCCCCCCCATCCCCGGTCCTCAGCCCCTGGGACCCGACCACTAATCTACGTTTTGTCTCTATGGATTTCCCTATTCAGGATACTTTGTATAAATAGAATCATACAATGTGTGGTCTTTCGGACTGGCTTCTTTCCTTTAACGTGTTTTTGAGGTTCATCTACGTAGTAACATGTACTTCATTCCTTTTATTGCAGATTAATATTCTGTCATGCGGATATACCACACTTTGTCTATCTAATCAATAGTTGGTAGGCATTTGAGTTATTTTGCACTTTTTGGCTGCTACAAATAATACTGCTATGAGCATTTTTGTACAAGGTTTTGTGTGGACCTATGTTTTTTAGTTCCTTTGAGTATACACTGTGGAGTGAAATTACTGGGTCACATGGTACTCTGTGTTTATCCTTTTGAGGAACTTCCAGACTTTTTCAAAGAGGCTGCACCACCAGCCGTGTGTAATGCTTCCAGTGTCTCCACATCTCACAAACACTTGTTATTGTCTGCTTTTTTAAGATTTTTTTTTTTTTAATTTAAGTAATCTCAACACCCAGTGTGGGGCTCTAACTCATGACCCCGAGATCAAGTCACATGCTCTTCCAACTGAGCCAGCCAGGTGCCCCCTTAAGATTTTATTTTATTTTATTTTTTATTTTAAGTAGGCTCCACACCTGAGATAGAGCCCAACGCAGGGCTTGAACTCATGACCCTGAGATCAGGATGAGCTGAGATCAAGAGTCGGATGCTTAACCAACTGAGCCACACAGGCACCCCAAGATTTTATTTTATTTTATATTATTTTTAAAGATTTTATTTATTTATTTGACAGACAGAGATCACAAGTAGGCAGAGAGGCAGGCGGGGGTGGGGGGAAGCAGGCTCTCCGCTGAGCAGAGAGCCCAATGTGGGGCTCAATCCCAGGACCCTGAGATCATGACCTGAGCTGAAGGCAGAAGCTTAACTCACTGAGCCACCCAGGCGCCCCCAAGATTTTATTTTTAAGTGATCTCTACACCCACCCATCGTGGGGCTTGAACTTACATCCGTGAGACTGAGGGTCATATGTTCCACTGACTGAGCCAGCCAGGCACTCCTATTGTCTGTCCTTTGGATGAAAGTCATTCTTGTGGGAGTGAGGTGGTATCTCATTGTGGTTTTGTTATATTTCCCAAGTGACTAATGATGTTGGGCATCTTTTCATGTGTGTATTAACCAAATGTCTTTTTTTTTTTTTTTTTTTTTGAGATAGAGCAAGCTCACCCTGTGGGGGGAAGGAGGGCCAGAGGGAGAGATAGAGAGAATCTCAAGCAGCCCCTGCACCCAGCCTGGAGCCTGACGTGGGGCTTGATCTTATGACCCTGAGATCACGACCTGAGCCAAAATCAAGAGTCAAATACTTAACAGATAGATCCGTCCAGGCACCCAGCCAAATGTCTATTCTAATCCTTTGATCATTCTTCCAATTGGGTTATTTATCCTCTTAAGTTATAGTTGTTCTGGATACAAGTCCTTCGTGAGTTGTAATGATTTGCAAATGTGTATTTTTCCATTCAATGGGCTGTCTCTCCACTTTCTTGATGGTGTCGTTTGAAGCAGAAGCTTTTATTTTAGTAAAGTCCCACTTGTTATTCTTCTCTTTCATTGTTTGTACTTTTAGTGCTTTGTCTAAGAAATCATTGCCTAACCTGAAGTCATCAAGATTTACTCCTGTTTTCTTCTTTTACGTTGCTCACTCTCATATTTAGATCTGTGAACCATTTTTAGTTAATTTTTGCGTATGGTGTGAGGTCTTAGACATTTTTTTAAATCAGAAAACATATTTTTTTCAATTGAATATTGCATTTCTTTCATATTTTTCTTTCTTGTTCCTTGTTCTCCCTCCTTGTTTATATTCTTGTAATGCTTACATTGAATATTCAGCCCAAATCCTCTGCAACAATCTAGTCGCTCGATTTTCATCTCTGTTCTTTTCTTCATCACTTTCAGAAAATGTCTCTGAAATTTGTCCACTAAATATCATATTTTATTTCTTTTTTTATTCATTTACTATTTACAAGATATATTTCTTCTTGTAATTTCGTGTCAGCACTTTTTTGCTATACTGCTTTTCAAAAACTAGGTATTACATATTTGACCCAAAGTTTACTTGTTCTCTGTATATATATTTTTTTTTTAAGATTTTATTTATTTATTTGACAGACAGAGATCACAAGTAGGCAGAGAAGCAGGCAGAGAGAGAGAGGAGGAAGCAGGCTCCCTGCTAAGCAGAGAGCCCGATGTGGGGCTTGATCCCAGGACCCTGAGATCATGACCTGAGCTGAAGGCAGAGGCTTTAACCCACTGAGGCACCCAGGCGCCCCTCTTAAAAGAATTTTTGTTTAAGTGGGTTTAATAGACTCTCTGCCTGGGTAGCATCATTCTATAACTACTACAATAGTAACAGTAACATACATTTCCACATAGCACCATACAGTTTATAAATCATTTTTAAGTACATCTTTATCTTTAGGCCACATGAGGACAGCATATATTGTATCCAAAACCCCTGCTAACTAGGAGCGCCTTCATGGCTAGGTTGAGCGTCCCAATTCTTGCTTTTGGCTCAGGTCATAATTCTGGGGTCATGAGATTGAGCCCTGCATCAGACTTCACACTCAACAAGAGTCTGCTTGAGATTCTCTCTCTCCCCCCGCCCCCCGCTCCTCCCCCTGCTCACATACCTGTGCTCTCTCTCTCTCTCAAATAAATAAATAAATCTTAAAAAAAAAAAAAAAAAAAACAGCTCCTAACTAGAATTAAATTGTTTTATTTCACTCTGTTTTTGAAATGTTTCAGTTGTGCAAATATATTTTACCAGCTCAAATGGGTCTCATTTTGGTCTTTTTGTTAAGTGCCATTTTAATGATCACACTGATCTTTTTTTAAAGGATTTTATTTATTTATTTGACAGACAGAGATCACAAGTAGGCAGAGAGGCAGGCAGAGAGAGAGGGAGAAGGAAGCTCCCTGCTGAGCAG